CTGTGACTTATAGAGTGTGTTATAAAGGTTGTTAAGTTTAAAGTGACTGTGGAAATTCTGTGTATTACAAAAAGTTGTATCGAGAAGGAATAAACTAGTTTTAATCAAGAAGGGACTTGTATCGCTGAAGTTTCTCGGAAAGAATTTTTACCGGAAATTAACAAACGAGCAGATACGCAACATTACTTTTATAACACGCCCACAACTAAAAAATGTATCGCGTATCTTGTGACATCATACCCAGTGGCGTACAAAGGTTCTATGATGGCCGGGGCCTTGTACCTAAGACTTTGGGGAAGGATGGAAAGGGTTCTACTATTCGATTCGACTCTTTGTGTTGGATGCCCTCCCGATATGGATGCCCGGGGCCCCGGCACCTTTCGTCCCCCCCCCCCTCCCCTCTGCACGCTACTGTCTCAGTATGAACGTGGATAAAGCAAACTGAGATTTTGGCACCATGGCTTGATATTCCAACTCTACAGTCTTTAATTTCCTTTAAGATACGTCTGTTACTGATATAGAAGATTAACTGAATAGATCGATTATTTAGACAAATGATGGCCTTGTGAACTCGAAACTTTTGATGAGTTTTCTCGATTTTCAAAGCAGATTATTTGATCCAAACAGCCAGAACTGACTCTGAGACTTAAAAAAAGAACATTTTATGGTTTTATATAATATTTCATTAAATTATGGCACGTTCAAAAATGTCTGCTAATATAACTATTTTCATATATTTATATCATTATTGCTTATCAAATCAGTTACACTCGAATTCAACAGAAAATGACATATTTCCAGACTCTAGTTAACTGATGCTACCCCTCTCAACCGATTTCCTATTCTGAAGCCGCTCATAAGAGGTGGGGCATGCCTCCTCAAAGATTTTGGATAAATAAATGATTTTTTTGTTATATATTTTATCTGTTTTCTTAAGAACTTTGCCAAGTCCTGTAGAAAAATGCTCAAATATTTCTCTCGTGCTTTTTTCAAATTTTGCCTATTTGTCATTCAAAGTGATTTTCATTTAAATTTAAAAATACTTTTGTGCATCAGAAAATTTCATATGCAAATTTTTTTAACGTCCAAATAGTTACCAAACTTTCTTAAGAGAATAGTTTATGTCTCATCTCTTATTCTCAGTAATAAATTTCCGAATGGGTTTGGTAAATTATGCATCTTTCATTCCAGAATGAACACAAAGGGATTTAATTTAATAATTATTTGACGAGCATCAGCACGTGTTTGTTGTGCAAATGTCAGGTAGTGACAGTACTTACTTTTTTGTGTTTTAAGCAAAGGTTTTTTAATAATAGTTCAGTAGAGTCTCTATCTATTGATAGATAACTGAACTTCCAAGCATTTTTGTCTTCATGTGAAAATACAGATACTACAGATGTAAGTAACCATAATCTATTTTGGGATTAATTTGGAGGCCAGCGAAGTTGGAACGGTTCCTCCTGGATAGCCAAATACTCTGGACCACTGGACCAACCCTTAGTTAGTGTACGTGCATAAAATCAATAACCCCATGCCGGGGTTAGAGGATTAATGGGGAGGACATTATACAGATCTCAACTGCAGGCTTGACCTCATTAAAAATGTGAAAGAAAAAAGCCCACTATATAATGTATTGTTTTGATAATTAAGAAACTGGTGTTATTAAACTGAGACATCAATAATATGTACACAGATATTTCACGTGCTAAAATACTTCGGGTGCTTGATACATTGAATATTAAATTAATTAATTATTTATTTATTTACTTATTTTTAGCGAAATTGGTTTGTCAGATATCATTATTGTGCAGTGGAAAGTCCCAAACTGTCGTAGTTAACATAAAAAAAAACATTATTTCTGCCATCTAGCGACGGTAAGAGAAACTATTATGACGTTTTCTTATTTTTCTCACATAAACGCGCGTAATGGGAGAAGATAATAACACTGCTGTTATACAGCGATTAAGCTGGCATACCCGCTTTGAGAAAAAATATTGTTTAAGTACTACTTTCAAAAAATATAACAGAAAAGTTATCATACTAGGGAAACAAACTTATGTGCATTTTCTAAAACAACCATTTAGGGATTGTAAGCAACAATGTTTGTTTTAAATGATATAGAAAATAAATACTGTTATTATGTAAGTTTAAAATTTCACAACCACCTATTTGCCTCGAAAATACGAAACTAATAAAACATAAGAAGACAGAGTCTATAGGAAAGAGATATACACACACTGTATATCTATATGCATCTAGCATTAATGACTGTCAGCAAACATTGAAGGGTATATTCTACAAAAATAAAAAATATAATATTAATACTTTAAATGGAAAAGTGAGTAAACAAACTATAGCATTAACTTTACACTATCACGTCGAGTTTACTACATTAAACTCACCACTTTCGTTATTACACTCTTGCATGATGTAAGAAATTAAATACTACTAATACAGAGCTGTCCTTAGAATTTTATTCAAGCTCTAACATGCAAGGTACTTTCTTACAGACTTGTAAAAACTACCAATGAAAATATTGACTTTATTTTGGTTATAGGTAATATATAATGAAAGTAAGAGAGAACTATCAACGAATTGTGAAAGAGAGGATGTGACAGGTGGGTGTGGCAGAAGGGGTCTGATTTTCTCTTTGACAGCTCAGTAGCAAAACAAAATTGAAGGCTATAAAAATTATGGTCAGTTTGAACCATAACGCTTTTATAGAGAGTAGTTTACGTTTAATTTTGTAGTTTCTGGGAAGGTGGTGAATAAAATAAAGATAAAATACCTAGAGAAAATGTGTCATATGTGTCACACTAGGGGAAATTTTGGATTGATTTTAATATTGCCTTATAAAATTAAAAACTTAAACGTATATAATATCAAAATATGGATTATTAGCTAAGAGTTTGTGATATGCTACTTAGTATAACATAAACAAAAAAGTAGTTTGATAAAATTTTGAATGTAAGACACTAAAACCTTGTGTTATGCACAGTAAAGGACACCCAGGGCGAGAGGGTTAATTGTCAATAAGCAGAATTACTTGGACAGAATAAAACTTGTGTTTGAGGTCTTCAAGGTTGGTGTAATCGTGAAAAGGAAAATATATTATGGAATAATTCAGACGCTTATTACTAAGTAGTAGGTGTAGGCTATAAATGATGTATAAACACAAACCAGTTATTATAGTTGTTTTTTGATAATATTGTTATTAGTACATGGTGACATATTCAAATAATTCGAACAAGGTAGTGAGGTAGAGCAATGTATAAAGGCGAGAAATTTTTGACTTGATCTGATTAGGCACTAATGCTAGGGGTTACTTTGAGAGACACTCTGGACACGATGGAGTTTTGTAAAATGATTGCAGGGATGTATTCAATGTGGTGTTTCAATTTAATGACAATGGTGTGAAGACATTCCTATTATATACATTATTAAATTTTTATTTGAGTTAAAAAGTAAAGTGTCATGAAGTTTTAAATTGCGTAGTATCTATTCTAGGCCATTGACGTAAATCAAAAAGGTATACAATAGAGTCTTGGTATAATGAATTTCTGGGGACTGACCAAAGTACTTCAGAATAGGCAGAGTTCATTATGTAAG